TATCTGAACCAGTATGCGTAAAGATGAGTGCCACTTCTTTGTTGTACTCTTTGATAAAAAACTACCTATTGATAAAAATCCTCCAACACCATTTCGAACTTGAAGATGAAGCAGAAGTGCTTTTTATAATGGAAACTGTATTTAGAATTGATTCTTCTCAGAAGCTTGATAGTGAAGAGGTTTGGTGCGTGAAATTAGTACTGAATGGCGAGGAAGATGATAAGTAGAGACCTGCACGGGCTAAGAAAACGTAACCCAAACCCGACCCGATAAATTTTTACTCTTTTGTTTTGTTTTTAAGTTTGTGTCTTTTTATTTACCTATTTATTTAGCGGAGGGTATCGCATTACAGGCGAGTGACCTTTTGCTAATAGTCTGCTAATATTCCAGAAAATTTGAGCGTTATATCTTTCTAAATTCTCAATATCACCTCTAATAAAACAGAAATGTTATCATTGAAAATTGTGCGGTTTGGAAAAGGGTGATTCTTTCGAGAACGTACCACGTTTATGCCATAAGTCTCCAAATACTCTTCTTTATATATACTTATTTATCAGTTCTTATTGAGGCAATATAAGAACGTATGATGAAACGAAAAGGATTTACTCATACTACTTTCATAACAGAACAGAAATGCAAGTAAAAGAATCATACATCCAGTACATTCGATCTACGGCGCAAATACTCCTATGTTAGCACATATAATTGTGTGTAAATAAAGAGAAGACAGATTAGTTTGCATGACATTTATTTTTATCTTTTTCTTTTTTGCATGACCAACAAACTTAAAAACTGAAGAGTCTCTATCATGTTGATCAAATTGTTGTTATTTGATAATTTTTGAGAAACTTATAATTCTTGTCTAATTCTTTTTTTCACATGTTTGGCAGGTTACCATTGTGATGCTGCTAGAGTGTGAAAGTCAAACAGTTTTGTCCACAATTATCGCAGGTTTATCGAACTTTTCGTTCAGGTTTTGCTGGACACAAATGGCATCTTCGTTTAGTTCGATTTGAATGGGTGTTCACATTAAGATCTTTGACGATTCCTGAAGGAACTTGATAACCAAGAGACAGTATAAAAACAGAAAAGTGTTCAAATGTACATTTGTAGGTTTTTTTATGTCTTTATGACAGTTTTGAAAAACTTATATGATTTAAATAAATCACGAAAAACGATTTAATACAGAAATTTGGTTTTGATCAAGAAATAGCAAAACTTCACCACTCTATAGAGAAAATATGAGTCATTAATACGAGAGATGAACGCGCAAACGAATCATAACTTATTTATTTTAAAAATAAATCGATACACAGCAGATGGCAGTTATAACAAAGCGAAAAATCATATCTATAACATCATTAGTGTCTTGGGCTCCACGTGGACCCATATCTGTATTCTTTTTCTGTTAGATCTATATGTGGTTATTCATGAGGATATTATACACCGTCCAAAGGCTAGAGATTACAAAAAACAAATGATTCGAAACAGTAAATGGTTGTGTAGTACGCAACAAAAAACTGTAAAGTGGGTCCACGTGGACCCCACGACAGTAACCGAGGGTTAAAGGACAAAAATTGTTCAGATTAATTTAGAAAATTTTTTTACTTTCAAAATTAATTTAAATGTTTGATTGAATATAAAAAAATCACAAAAATTCAATTCAAATTAATGTAAAAAATGAAAAAAGATTTAAATTATTTTTTTGAAAACAAAAACTACTTTCGCTCGTTAAGAAAAATCAAACAGAGCCTCATATTAAGTTACGTGAAACTAATTTTTGATCTTAAAATATTAATAGTTTAAATTAATTCGAAATGATAAACTACCGTGGATTACATTTATTATCAACATGAATCTATAAATAACAGGACTAGGCGAGTTCGGGGAGGATACCGAGTCCATGTTTTATTTGACAGTAAGAAGCTAGAAGTATGTATATAAAAACATCACGTATCGTTTATTTTGATAACTTGTTCTATTATTAGTGAGAAAATAGAAGGTTATACTGTAAAAAATATAGTGTGCCCGTAGATGTGTAAAAGTTCTAAGTGTGCAAATGCGAATCAAACTTGGGTATTTTTTTTCTAGGTGTGTAAAAGTCTCTCTATATTCGCAGGTGTGTAAATTTTGCCAGTGTATTTCTGGCACATCACATCGTGCATTCTAGATGTGCAAATGCGAATCAAAGTGATATGCAAGTTAAGTGTGTTTTGGGCACACTTTATTTTTTACAGTGTGGAGTCTAGTCCATTTTAAACACGACTTTTTATAGCAGATGTGTTAAAAGTATGATGAAATAAAATAGATTTTTCTTCATGATAATTACGATTAAAATAAATAAAAAGTAGTGTATCCTTATTCCTCACCTCAAAGCAAATTTCTTCATCAGTCACTTGGAAGAGACCACGCTATCGACACGGGACTGACTTATTTAAGGTCTTTTTCTCATAACAAAACTGATGACTGATTCGGTTGTCATTATAAGAGAAAAGTATCAATCAGTCAGTTTTTTTCATTTCACATTTTTTCACTACTTATTGTTGCAAAGAAAAAGAGTATAAATAAATGGAATTTAGAAAAATGGACGATTCTATCGATTAGAGATTAGTGAAAAGTATCAAGGCTGTAAAGTTGAACTGAGTGATAAAAATCGCCATTTTGCCGTGTAGTTATAGTCGTCAGCGATTAACTTGTCCATACTTTATAATCTGTACAAGTAGTGGTGAAATAACGGTAAACCAGGGAAAGTAGGAGGTCCAGATGCAAGGATCAATTTTGGTTACAATGAAAATGGAAAACGAATTATCTATTCACCCGATTCCTTCTGGATTGCTTCATCACAGATGCAAAATTATGTTCTTGATATTGCGTTTCCACAATGGCTTCCTACGTTTGTTGTTGAAGTTAGGTCTCCCGGTCAGACATTATAACGACAACGTGGAAAAATTGAGTTTTATCGCTCAAAACATAGTGTTTTTATGCAAGTTTGTTACAGTATCGGGAAAATTGGAAAATATTTTCATTCAACTTATAACTTAAAATACTGATAATGGAAACTTTTTTCCTTATGATTTCAATATCGGCAGAAAAATGACCTTGAAAATAGATCCTGATAAAGAAAACAAACATTGCTACAAATATTTTTTACATATTAATCTATTGTTCATATAATTTCCAGTCTTATGTTCGACATTCTGTTGAACAGTAACGTGCTTGCTTACATTTTGCACAAACATGTAATGCATTTACTTCACCACAATAACGATACATGTTTGCAATTCTTCCTAATTCATTTTGCATTAGAACTGACAAAAAAATCATCAACACATACACCAGCTTTCATATCATTTTAACCAATACGTAAGTACAGATGTATTATATTCATTTTATTACCAATTGTAAAAATTTCTTGAGAAAAATATCGTCCATCACATTCACGGAAACCATAAATGAACATACGTTCAATATCTAAATTATTATCTTCAATTAAATTAATTACTGGGATTTAAGGGAGCCTTCGTCAGAAAACCGACCTAGGTACGATAAGGTTGTCCGGAGATATATTTTTATTTTATTTTTATTCGTGTCTTGTTCGAAAGAGCGTACAAAATAACTGCTAACCCTGCAATAACTCTTTCTGAAATTGCTTTTTCAAAAAAATAGAAGTCAAACACTCTACTGAGGGTCACTCTGGTTACCAAAAAAATGTGAATTTTCACAAATTTTCGTATTTTTCAGTTTTCTCAAGAACTATCAAATCCCTCTGGTTGGCTCATGGCTCATTTGAAGGAGGAACGTGTACTCTATAAATTCACGTATTCAGACATAACAATATATTTAACTATGAACCTTTTTAGTTTTGTGCTTAAAAACTGCATATGACTCAATGCTCAAAATTTGATAAAAGTTGATAAAACGGAAAATTTTGCTTATTTTTGAAAATTTCAATATTTCAAAATTTGTTACCTAAAATTGACCTTTATTCTATTGACTATTTTATTATTCAACGAGCTCTATTCACAAATCAAATAATCCGAGGTGTGTTTGTACTTAATATGACGGCGTTGAATAGTGTTAACATATATTTTGTTATTTTCTTTTCAAATTCTTTTCTTATTACAATTAGTGTAAAAGAAGAAGAAAAGCGATTTATTTATATATTTATTAAATTGCTTTTCTTCTTTTTCATTTAAAAGAAGGCCACTCATATATGAAAAATATATTCGAACTGTTCACGGAAACTTTTCGCTTCATATTTTCGCACGTAGTCACTAGTGGAAGTCGTAAAATGGTTTGTGCACTCATGTGAAAAGAAATCCTCGCTTGTAAACGCATGTGAAATTATATTCACACGCACTTGATGTTGCAATTGCACGATCCCAACATCATGAAACTTCCCCAAAATTTCTGCATCTGTATAGGCTACACATTCTTTTGTTTGAATACAACAAGGCACTTCCAGAAAGGTAAAGCAATACGGTTCCCTCAGTCTTTTATTTTTTATCTACTAAATGTTCTTGGATGGTTTGGGAACCATCTCCTCAGTGACAACCTAAAAATGTTTCTTCTCAATACTGTGCTAGGAAGGGATATCTCCGCTGCGGGTACGAAATAGTGCACTTGACTACGAAGAACCCGTGGTGTAAGCAGAATTATTTGAAAACATTCTGTTATGCAAGTTTGAGTCAATTTTTGTGTCGAAAATAACTTTTTTCTCGGTTTACTTTGTCCTGTAATTCTTCATTGAAGGCTCAACGGGTCGACTACCTAATACCGCAGTGATCAGCACATCGACTTCTACAAGACAGGGTATGTATCGTTGAAAAAATCGCGTGGGACTTGGCAAATTTCCCTCATGAGAAAAATAAGCTGATTCTTTCGAACCGCAGTGAAAGAACTTGCGAATAATTCCATTTTCTATACCCATCATTTTGAATTACGCTCTTTTCAGATTGCTCCATTTCTTCTACAAAGTAATGAATCTTTGACTTGAAAAAATGAATGGCGTACACGAATTAACAATTTTTTCAACTGATTTAGAAAATCATTATGATGAGCTGCTAATAGCTCCCGAAAAGGACATTTTGACACTCCCTGTAGATCCATCAGTCGAACCTGTCTATGTATCACATGAATATTTAAATGTTATCAACCCAGTAACAGTAAAATCATCTCCATCTATCACACAAAATATTTTTCGAACTTTATCTGGTATATTTTATTCATTAACATCATCATTTTTATTTACATGCTCAACATTTGTTGTTAAACAATTAAAGGTTGATTTACTTGATGCATTAATATTACGTTTAATATTACAAACAGTGACCATTATCGCATTTATTATTTACAAAAAATATCCATTTTTTAGTGGTACTAAAAAGCAGCTATTATTGCAATTAGTGTGTTGTTTATCAGGAGCAGGTGCATTGACAGCCTTCTTTGTTGGTTATCGATATATACCATTACCAGATTTAACAACGCTAGCATATACAAGGGTCATTTGGACGTTATTATTAACTAGTATTATTTATCGTGAAAAACCATCAATTGCAATTCTGGGAGCCATACCATTAGCGATCCTAGGAGTCATTTTTGTTGCACAACCAACGTTTCTATTCAACAATAAAATGCCTCAAGTATCAAACATGATACTCAATTCTACCATAACTGTAACAAATTCATCAAAATATCGTTATATTGGTTTTTCAGTTGCACTATTTTGTGCTTTATCATCATCCGTCAATGTTATCCTTTTCAAACAACTCGTGACATGTAAAATAAAATCGAGTGTATTAATGTTTCAATTTGTAATTGTAGCCTTAAGTATATTAATTCTAAATCAATTCTACAAATATTTTATCGAACATAAACCAATAATTCTATTAAAATGGCAATTTATAATTGCGTCGTTCATATGTTTATTGCAAATTCTATCATCAACATTAGTTCAAAAAGCGATTAAACGTGAAAATCCGTCGGTATATACCATTCTATGTAGTAGTGATATTATCTATGCGATTATACTACAAAATTTGTTCACAAATATGAAATCAGCTTTATTCGCTTTATTAGGTTCGTTATTGGTTATTAGTAGTGTCATATTGATTGGTGGATATAAGTTGTTTAAGAATAGACAAGCACTAAAACTAGATAAACAACGCGTACATAAAGAAAAATTCAAAACTATCACTTGATACCACGTCAAGTAAGTACACTCGTGAAAGTCTCTAGAACAAATATTCGCTTTTTTTTTTTGTTTTCCAACGGTTGGCTATTTTTGTGATTATTTTGTTACTGTTGAATTTACGCGACAATTAGGAGAAAAGTCATTCCTAGATACTTAAACAATCTCTATAGTCGATGCTTTATACATTCCCTTTTTTTTCTGTCTTAATTCTGGTTACAAAAAGAAATTTTATTAAAAGATAACAGTGTTTTCGAAGAGAATTTCAAGTTCATTTAGTGAACTTGAAAATCTATTTCAAAAGCATGCCGATAAAAATTTCAATCAGGAATATGCCTTGGGCGAGTCCGAAATCATCGGCACGGGTGTCGAGGTCCTCAAGTCAACGTTTGCTATCGAATCGCACTAAAAATTCTCGGCATGATCGCTATAAGAGTCGCAAAATAAGACGTGATTTTTATGATCGCTATTTGTCACGATCTACGCGTAAATAGAATACAGCTGCCTTCATCATTGTCGTCATGTGATCTTGAATATAATCAGCAGCATTCGCGAGTTTTGCCTTCTCGCGATTGTGTGTCCTTCGCGTCGCGAATCCAGCTGTCGGGACATGATTTTCTATACCGTGACTTCCGCTGCGACTTTTAAAACTTCTAGTATCGCCAACAGTTTGGATCGCGGCTCGTGACTGCTACTTTATCAGGTCCATAGGCATAGTCACTGGCGCAATTCACGTCGCGATTTAGCGATATAATAGCGATCGCGCTAAGCAAAAACTGACTGAATTTTCTAAATTTTCTAGCTTTTTAAGTCCGACCGCAAGTCCATAACGATCGCGGCGGGAGTTAGCGACCGTATGGCTCGACGCTTCTACTTTTTATAATTTAAATTCCTATTTTGAAACAAACAGAGTAACATGAGTTAATTATCGTGAACGCTTAACATTTTTCAAGTATTTTTGTATTAGTTACTGAAGTGTTTAGAGTGAAAATATCTTAGATATCCTAAACTCAGTCTTGTTCTGCCATGCTATATGTTGAAATAACTTTTCGATTTCGTTGTGCTTTAAAGTCACGATCATATGCACATCTCATTTCAATTTGATTTCTTATAAATCTAATTGGTGTATCATTTTCAAAACTTTTTTGACGAAAAAAGTTTGAAAACCATATTTTATGCATGGTGTTTCCCACGTTGCTTTACAGCGGAGTCGTTAGGGAGGTAAGTTATATTAGTGTTGCGAAGCGCTGCCATGGGTCACATCGACTTATCCATGGGGGAAAAGTTTCTGGTCTATCGATCAAGTTTTAACCATTCTGTAAGAATTTCATTGATTAAATAAATCAGAAGGTCATAGTCTTCAGCCAGACGAGCATTAACTAAGCGTATCAACGAGCATTTTTCGGTTTTACGAAAAAATGTTGTATTGTTGCACTCATATTCTGTTTCCGTTGTTTTAATTATGGATAATCTAAAATGCAAACATTTTACCGAAAAATCTGCTGAGGACAATATGCAGGGCAATTCTCTTTTTGGTAAAAAATATTGGATCGATTCAGTTGCATGCGCCGCCGATAACGAATGCGTGATTTTTTTTCTCTCGTCCAAAAGCATCTTTTTCCACCAACTGAACGAAAGTTGCAAAAAGTTACGAACATTCGTCGATTTTAGGACGCTTTCAAGCGCATCAGATTCGTACAGAGCGTGCTCGGACGCATCAATTTTTTTCAACAATCGTCGCATATGAACTCTTTTAGACCAAAAAATACCTTGAACGTATCTGGACGCGCTCTTTTTTTTATATCGTTTGACAAACGAAAGACGGATAGGTTTGCGTTCTATTCAGACGCGCCTCAAATTTTACCTGGTATATTGAAATACATTTAGACGAATTTTGCATCTCGATCACAGAAAAACGTAATGAGACGTGTAGAAAGAAAAAAAACATCAACTTATATTTTATCAACAATGGAGAAATAATAATGATAAAAAATATGCCCCGGGTGAGGATCGAACTCACGACCTTCAGATTATGAGACTGACGCTCTACCTACTGAGCCACCGCGGCGACAACTTGTATTCTATGTCAGAATTATCCAATGTTAGCATTCAACACCTAACGTTGACGCTTCCAATTTTTAAATAATTTAGTGGGGCTTCACACATTTTAAGAACGGAATGTCGCTGATAATAAAGAAGCATTCTTTTGTTATTCATCGGAGCATGGTTTGACTTTGATCTCGAGGAATGAAGCTGTAACGGTAACTGATATAAAATTAATAAGCATCGTTCCTCGTTACTGGAGGGTAAAGGATTTCTTACTGTATATCAATTACCATTACCTCTACTAAGGAGGAACGATGCTTATTAGTTTTATGTCAATTATAGTTACCGTTAGTAACGAAGAACGATGGTAACGGTTGATTTTCATACAGTTATAACAAGCACAGGTTTTGCGCTTCTGTCAATGAATTCGGTTTAATGTGGTTATTTTAAATTTGAATTTTGATAAAAAAATTCAGGTGAAATTCATCTTACAAGATCATACAAGATTTGCTGTTTTCTTATGAAATCTTGTAACAAGATCTTGTCTTAGAATATTGTACGATCGTGCGGAACCTTATAACTTCTTGTCATGAGATCTGACAAGATCAGCTCATAAGATATGACAAAATTTTACAAGATCTTGTATAATCTTGCCATTGAGAGGCGTGACTTATCATAAGAAAAAAACTAATTTTTTTTCTTATCACAAGATCATACGATTTCTTGTTATAAGATCTTATATGATCCTGCACGAAGCGATGACTCATACTGACCACAGAAATTTTGCTAGGATATTGAGTATATATATAAGATATATATTAAATTACATAAATTCTAAGTTTTGTCATAATATGACAAAACTTAGAATTTTTTTCTTTCTTCGACTTCAACCATCAGCTAAGCGCAAATAAAGTCCATGGCTATAAGGAACGTGTATAGACACGAGCCTAAGGACGTTTGTGTCCTACTATACCGATGCTAGAAAATATTATGAACAGAGGAAGGTTTTAAGAGGGTCTAGAGGAAATTTATAGAACACAATCAGGCACATAATCTTGTAAGATCTGATGAATTCTTACGTGATCTTATGAAATCATGTCACTTCTTGCACGATCATACAAGATCCTATCGCATGTTCTTGCAAGATCTTGTAAAATCTGATTATAAGAAAAATCTTATATGGAATTAGGGAGACTGGTTCATATAAAATCGTATCAGATCTTGTACGATCATATGAAATCTTGTGATATGATATTGTTAGATGATAAAAGATCTTTCCAGATCATTTGACAAGATCTGCCTACCTGGGTATAGGTTTTCTTACCACATCACCGACAAAATTAATGCAGGGCAGCGGAAAAGTGTTTTTTTTCTGCTATGAATTTGTTTTGTTTTCTTAGCAGCTAGTTGAAGAAAATATGACTGAGAATGCTAAAAAGATGAGACAAATATTAAAAGAAAATTTAAATCAATTACCAAAAGATGTGATAACATAGGTTCTTGAAAAAGAACTGTTAAATTCGGTCGTTATAAACTCGAGTAATCTGTTCCCGTTTTCATTATTGGGATGAAAGGTCAATTTTAGATGCTCTCTTTGGGATGGTTTAGAAATCGGTTGGAATAAAAATTCAGTTTCGGTATTGAAAAAATTGCACAATGATCAAAGAATTAGAACAGATATTTATAATAAATGAATTCACTAAAAAACACTGTTCAAAATCATCAATAGTACCACCATCAATGGACAACTTAATATCTGAAGATCGTTCTGTTATGTCACGCACTAGAGTCGTGTCGTAGGGGTTATTGCACAAGCATATAGTCTAAGTAATTGCGCAAAATATATTCAAGGTTATTGCGTAGAGTTTAGTCAAGATTATTGCGCAATATTGCGTGTAACAGATCAGTTTTTATTGTTAAAACGGAATATTTTCTATTTGTAAATAAACGGTGGTCATATACATCAGAAAAGACGGAACGGAAAAATCGTTTTTTTTCATTCCAAAAGCGTGGACCTCCGCAAAATATCGATCAACATTAGTAGACTGGTTTGTCTGAAAATACATGGAAACTTTGTTAGTGATAGCATTCATGAGTTGGACTATTTCATGAATATTTCAGCGGCATCTATCAACAGCAGAGGCTAGTAATTTATTCTGATTGGGCAAAAATTCACGAAAAATTTTCTTTTTGGGTTGTGTTATTTCTGCCTAGCAATTATTAATTTCACCGTCATTATTATACAATATATGGATAGGTAGTGCTGAACACTCTTCTACCAATAAACAATAAAAATGTTAATGATTCACTAGGTTTTTGTTTTGGTCACCTTATTTCCGGGTTGTAAATCACTTTATTTCAAGGTTTTATCTAATTATAATTTTTTTTAACCGTATGTTTCTCTACATTCGAAAATTGAGATCTCTATTTGTTCCTTCAAATTGAACTTCCGCTTTACTATACTTTTCTCCGTCTCCCATTTTAGATTTTTGAGAATAAGTTACTTGTTTTTTCTCACATGAAATGGCAGCAGCGTCCTCTTCGACAGAAATCAACAAGAACAAATCACGAAACCAGGTGAGAACTCTAATTTCGAATGTGTATCTAATCGCATTGTTGATTGATATCTTTGAAAGTGCTATCTGAAATTGAAGTTCTTTAGTACGAAGATTTTTTTGTACACAGCAGAAAACTCTACTTATTTTCAAAAGGGAAATTTCTCATTATCAAATTTGTTTTTAGAATTATGACTTGGATTGGTTGAAACATACAAATGCAAATCAATTTTTAACAGAAGAACGCCGTTTAATTAACAATCTTAAATCATCGAGTGTCGATCGTGGTTCACAAAAAAAAATGAGTCGATACAATGGAGAAATAAATCGAATGACATATGAACAAGTTCTTCATGAATTAAATCGAAAAAATTTGTCCATAACGTAAGAATAGTTAAATGTTTGTTTTTTAAGATCTCCATTCGTGTTGAGAGACACGCCTATTTTTAAAATTTCGTATCGTTTGCATTTCATTGCTTAAGGACCTTTTGAATCTAATACTGTAATGTAAAAACTATGAGAAATGTACATTTTTAGCGTGTTTATTTTTTATGATTATTAGTGGTGAATTGGACTTATTAAAACGTCGTTTAAAACACCATTATAAAGCTGAACTGTTAAATAACGATCATTTGGGACGTTCACCATTAGAAACTTATCAACAACGGTATGAATATTTAGCCGTCATTGATTTTGAAGCAACGTGTGATGAAAATCAACCAGAAAATTATCAACATGAAATTATTGAATTTCCAATCGTTTTAATTCATGTTCAAACTGTAACCATTGTAAGTGAGATATAGTACAATCTTTCTTATTTCAAATCTTCTTATGTTTTATTATCAGACTGATACATTCCGATCATTTTGTCGTCCAGTATTAAAACCTATATTATCTGATTATTGTCAAAAACTAACTGGTATTACACAAGTAAGTTTTACAAAATAAGAGTTGTCGAAATGTTATATTTATTTGTTTACTTTTTGTAGGAACAAGTAGATGCAGCCCCAGAGTTTCCTGAAACATTAAAAAATGTTGAAAACTGGTTAAATGATAGAAACCTACTATCATCTAAACGAAAATGTGCTTTTGTGACAGACGGGTAAATAATAATAAATGATTAAGTTTTGATGTCTTATCTATTCGTACACTTTATTGATAACTGTCGTTTAAGATTGGTAAAGTATTTATCAAGCTAAGATAGAAGTGATGAGAAATAAAAACAACATTAAAATTGAATAAGACAAGTAGAAAATACTAAAAATGGGATTGATCCCAAGCTGAAACGTCGGTTGTCAATAAATTGTACGAGAAAAAAGAGTATTTAATTGCACAAAATAAACAATCTCGTAAGGAAACAGCATGTCTACTAAAAATGTGTTTGTTATGTTTTAGTCCATGGGATATGGCCAAATTCTTACGTTTGCAATGTTATCTCAGCAATATAGAATATCCGCATTGGGCAAAAAAATGGATTAATGTACGCAAAGCATTTGGATCGTTTTATTCAACAAAACGATGTGGTATTTTGGCGATGTTATCGAAATTAGGTTTAAATTTTGATGGGCATCGGCATTCGGGTTTGGATGATTCAATAAATATAGCGAAAATAACGATGGAATTAATTAAAGTAAGAATTTATCCCTTATGAGTATGACGATCAAGAGCTCTTGACTTGTGTTTAGGATGGTTGTGTATTAATTGTGAATGAATTTCATCGTCCTACCGACGTTCGATCTGATCCAGTGGATAGCTCACAAAACTGTCTGTTCGACACGAATGGAGATGATTTTGATCCACAGCAACAAGAAGAAGATGATAAAATTATTCAATTTATTTCAGAAGAAGATGATAAAACACTTCATTTTATTTCAGAAGAACAAGAGAGTGAAAAAGAATCGATTCAACATTTAGGAAAATTATTACCAGTGACAGTGACAAAAGAACAATCTCAACGAAAATTGAGTTATCATTTAGGTGATTTATTAAAAA